GAAAGGGGTTTTGTAAAGATTATAGTAATTTCAATGAAGCTGTTGAGGAATCCCATAGTAGGACGAAACGGCCATCCAATGCTTTAAGGTTTTGTATAGTGGTCTAGTTTCAATGAACTCATGATTTTAACCTAATATAACAATAATAAATAACCAGTTAAGCGTACGCATACGAGACTGATACGTCCTGGGTTGGAATTCGGTGAGACGATATCGTGAATGCTCATTGCTAAGGAGTCCTATAATAGGACGAAACAGCCGTTCAGCACTTTTAGGCTATTTATGGTGGTCTAGCTGAAATTGACTCAGGATCTTAACTATTAAAATTGTTAATAATATCCATAAAATCCTTTCTAATATAGAAGGATTTGTGTTGATTGTTTTGACAGCACAATAAATTGTTCAGACAATTTATTCAGACTATAAATAGGTACGTATATAACTTTATAGTAAACACCATTTGTACTTCAGTTATAAAACTGTCTAAAAATTTAATGTTCAATGAACTGACTGTTTATCAGATCTTTATCATGGGATCAGAAATCCAAGATCTTATAATATTTCATTAACCCAAAAAGTCAACTCCTGATGATCATCTCTAAGAATGATCAGAAACATCTGAGCAATAATCAATAAGAGTATCCAAATCAAACAGAATTTCAGATTGTTTTGCATTACACATTTAAAGAACCCATAGATAGATAGATAGATAGATAGATAGATAGATAGATAGATAGATAGATAGATAGATAGATAGATAGATAGATGTGTGGATAGATAGATAGATAGATAGATAGATAGATGTGTGGATAGATAGATAGATAGATAGATAGATAGATGTGTGGATAGATAGATAGATAGATAGATAGATAGATAGATAGATGTGTGGATAGATAGGTAGATAGATAGATGTGTGGATAGATAGATAGATAGATAGATAGATAGATAGATGTGTGGATAGATAGGTAGATAGATAGATGTGTGGATAGATAGATAGATAGATAGATAGATAGATAGATAGATAGATAGATAGATAGATAGATAGATAGATAGATAAATAGATAGGTAGATAGATGGATGTGTGGATAGATAGATAGATAGATAGATGTGTGGATAGATAGGTAGATAGATAGATGTGTGGATAGATAGATAGATAGATAGATAGATAGATAGATGTGTGGATAGATAGGTAGATAGATAGATGTGTGGATAGATAGATAAATAGATAGATGAGTGGATAGATAGGTAGATAGATAGATAGATAGATGTGTGGATAGATAGATAGATAGATAAATAGATAGATAGATAGATGGATGTGTGGATAGATAGATAGATAGATAGATAGATAGATAGATAGATAGATAGATAGATAGATGTGTGGATAGATAGATAGATAGATAGATGTGTGTATAGATAGATAGATAGATAGATAGATAGATAGATAGATAGATAGATAGATAGATAGATAGATAGATAGATAGATAGATAGATGGATAGATAGATAGATAGATAGATAGATAGATAGATAGATAGATAGATTTGTGAAACGGATAACATTCTTTCCAGTCATCAACAATCCAATAAAATATATGATTAGTTATTCAGTCAGTTAAATTTTATTTGTTTTACCTTTGAATGTGATATAGAGCAAATCATGTTATTGTATCGTTTAGATGAGACAAATAACTATCTATTTTCAATTAATCTCTGATATTGTTATAACGATTGGGTTTCCATGTTTACACGTATGGGACATTAATTTACCTTAGACGAATATCTACACTATATATTCCCTCCAAGCGTCTATTCTACAGGACGTCAACACAACACAGATCAAGAACACGTGATTAGCCTATCGACAACATAAACATATTTCCACAACAATAACCGGACACAATCCATCAACAATGAACAATCAATATTAAGTGAGTGTTATATAATAATAAGAATAAGGGAATATATAACTCATCTAACACCAATCAGACTATGTACATGTTTGACTAAGCAGACAACCAATCATTATTATTCTCGCCCATACATCAGAAATGAAAATGGTTTTTTTAATAAATGTAATAATTTCGAAAAAAAGTGAATCAAGCCATTGCCCAGATACGGCCGAGAGTGGGGAGACTCTGCTCTTGCTCTCCGAATGCTGTCACATGGACACATGCATACAATCACTGACAGGGAAGTCTTAATCACTGCCTTCTCGTGGTGGGGGTGTTGTTTACGAAAATAAGACGATGAAAAGCGAATGTCCGGCGGTTTAATCAGGTTGGTAGACATGGAGAGTCCACCTAGGGGAGTTGAAAAACCCTCATTCCAAACCAATGATGCATATGAACTCCAGGATCCTGAGGTAACAAATGATATATGAACCAATCATTGGCCACCGGATGCCATAGGACTGCATCTTCTTATGTTACTCCACTGCTTTGTGGATCAAACCGTCAAATCGAAGGCTCAAGGTGTGATCGGATAAAAAGACAACCACGTACGGTTCGGTTATGCCGGCAGTATCACAACCCATACACAAATCAATTGAGTTGTGTGGCGCATATGTATTCGGTTCCCTTTCTTTCTTTACCAATATTTATGCTTAATGACTATATGTGTGCACTTTTCATTATTGTACGGAATCTATATTTTACGATGACTGAAAGAAAAAAAAGTGATAAAACTATTTTTACTTAAGTTTCATTACTTAATTCTAATAGATTTTCAAGTTTTAGGCATGTCCTGGTTTCAACCTTAAAGGAATGGTGAACAGTATATAACGATGAGTAATACACTCTTTTGTAGTGAAACTTTCGTGGTTCTTATTAAGATGATCAGGAATAAGCATTTGAAATCTTCCAAATAACTGTTATCAGTCATAAATGATCCACTATATTTACATTTTCTTTCCTGTATAGTATATCTTCTATAGAAGCAACATTCAAGTATGCATGGGAACAAATGGTTATCATAACCTAAAATGTACTCCATTTGGGTATCAAAATTATTCATTATGGTTAAGAATTTTATTCTCTTATTACAGTTTCATTTCTTTTTATTCACTATACATATACATATAAACTTTGACAAAGATTAAGTAGAACTTTTGTAAAAATAGTAATTATGGATTGTGGTTAGTAGTCAAAACCAGGATGCGTGTGTTTTGTCCCATTTAGAATTCGTCAACTGGAGTGAACATCAATTCTCTGATAAAAGTACATCCAGCTGACGAGTTCTAAATAGGATGAAACACCCGTTGTATATTCCACTGCTAGCCACTTTCTACCATCGTTTATAAAGCTTATGACAATATCGAGACAATCTGCATAGGATGTACATATGTTAACAAGAGACTGATTAATTAAAGTGCTAAACAACAATGAGTTGATACAAACAAAACAATACCAAGTGAATTTATCAAAATAATGTATAAAATATATTTCATATAGTACTAAACATGTAATAATTAAGTGATGCTGTGGTGTGTGCTACTGATGTTAATAAATATAAGTAGTATGTATCATCAATCGAAAGTGGATTGCCTGGAGGCAAAAATCTGTAAAGATAAAAAAAAAAAGAGAATGCGAACAAAGAACGAATGGTGTGGAAGTGAAGCAACGATCAAGTCTGAGATGATTGATTGACATTTTGCAAACAGATTATTTACTTTATAGATCTCAGACTTTAATGAAATTTATATTAAAATACATCAAGCTGGATCCCGTAAGGATCGGTAGTGCACAGACCAAATTGCGACACTACGGATCATCGTCGAACAATCAATTGAGTGGAAATCGTCACTCTACATCAACTTCATTGATTATGAAAAGTCATTTGACAGTGTAGATAGGAGGACGTTATGGAAACTTATTCGACACTACGGAGTTCCTGAGAAGATTGTCAATATTATCCGGAACTCATACAACGGACTACAGTGCAAAGTAGTGCATCGAGGACAGATGATAGATGCATTGCAAGTAAGGACCAGAGTCAGACAAGGCTGTCTACTCTCTCCCTTCCAATTTCTTCTGGTGATCGACTGGATTATGAAGACCTCGACATCTGAGGGAAAACACAGTATACAATGGACAACTCAGAACCAATTAGACGATTTCGACCTCACAGATGACTTAGCCCTCCTATCACATACACACGAACAAATGCAGATAAAGACAGCCAGTGTAGCAGCAGTCTCTGCATCAGTAGGCCTCAACATACACAAGGAGAAAACCAAGGTCCTCAAATACAACACGGAGAACAGCAATCCAATCACTCTTGATGGCAGAACTCTGCAAGATGTGGAATCTTTCACATACCTGCGAAGCATCATCGAAAAACAAGGGGGTTCAGATGCAGACGTCAAGGCGAGGATTGGCAAAGCAAGGACAGGATTCCTTCAATTAAAAAACATATGGAACTCAAAACAACTTTCAACCAATATCAAAGTCAGAATCTTCAATACGAACGTCAAGACAGTCAGTTCTACTGTACGGAGCTAAAACCTGGGAAACTACGACAAACACCATCAAGAAGGTACAGGTACTTATCAATAGCTGTCTACGCATGATACTCAACATCCATCGACCGGATACCATCAGCAACAGCCTTTTGTGGGAGAGAACAAACCAGCTTCCAGCTGAAGAGGAAATTATGAAAAGTCGATGAAAATAGATAAGACATACATTACGCAAATTACCGAACTGCATCACGAGTCAAGTCCTAACTCGGAATCCTGAAGTGAAGTGTAAAAGAGGAAAGCTAAAGAACACATTACATCGAGAAATATAAACACATATGAAAAGGATGAATAGGTAGTGCAAAGAGCTAGAAAGGATTGCCTAGGATAGGGTTGAATGAAGAGTGCTAGTGAGTGACCTCTGCTCCTCCACAAGGACTAACAGGAATAAGTAAGGAAGTAAATAAGTAACACCAGATTATCCTCTATGTATGTTCTTATACATGATAATACCATTATTATCATTATCATAAATAAAATTACTTACCTCCAAGCTAAACGAAAACTTAATAAATCTAAATAATGTAAATTTAACATAATTTCACGATCATTTATTGATAAATTCATAAATCCTGGAACTAATTCAGCATAACGTTTTAATTCTTGCATGGATTCTTCTAGAATTGTACAAAATTTACTTGTATATTGTTCATCAATCTATTTATCATGGAATAAAAAGAAGAGAAATACAAAGAATCTAGTGAATTACTTCAATAATCTTCTTTTACAAAATAAAAAATACAGAAAAAAAATACAACTCCTGATCATTGCAATACCTATCTACATAAGTATACTACTGGATAAACTCTACCTGGAGTCCCTCCAGGGGCTACTGCCAGTCTCAAGTCCGGATAAAAGAGAAGGTTTGGGCATTGGGGTTAGTGACCTTTATCTCGTAGAAAACTAACTCGCTATAAAAAAAAATGCGCTAACCTAATGATTCTATAGCTTAACAGTATGTCATGAAATCTGATGATTCTTGAAGTTTTATAAATGTGCAATATTGATTACTGCCAATAATATGTTGAACAAACTCTACCGTAGTCACTAGCTTAGTAAATACGATCAATCAATAATGATTTCCACCAACGGAACAATATACTCGATTGATGGTTTAATTCAAATATTGTATCTATGGTACAGAATGGAATTCTCATCACCAAGTATTTCAACAGGTTTCTTTTATAAAGAAAGAAAGAAGCAAAGTGAAAGGAACTGATAACCACATGTATGGATACATACACATATACAAGTGTAAAGTAGATCAACTACATGGAATTGAATGAAATATCTTTTGAGAAGATTAGGAACCCATAGAAATCTTTTAATTGTTCTTATACAAGTTGTTGACTAGATCCTCTCTACCCCTGTGTTCATCACATGGTATATTTGTTAGATGATGTATTGTAGAGGTTTTATACTTTTGTTTGTGTGCATGAATTCTAAGGTATTGACGTCTTGTTCTACCAGAAGGAGAAAAATATGAATGAATGGATGGTTAGTAACTAATAAGATAACACCTACCAGGAGTTTGTAAGAGTTTCAATATCTAACTATAACCATATTATTAATGACCTCAATAGATTCAACACTTTTTGCAATACAGTAAAGTGTTTTCTCAAAAACCCGGGTAATATTCAAGAAATCACAAACTGTAAGAGTAAATAATGAGTAATCCCAAATTGTATACAACCAAACCTCATTAACACAACAAGATGAACACCGAATTCATAGAAGTAGTTACTTCAATAGTAGTAATATATAAAAGAAAGATTGCATATCAAGATATAATACAAGAAGAAAGAATTAGTTCATATAAAGAAAGATATGAAGCGATTTTAATCTCACAGAGGGTGTATACACCTATACCATTATGATCGATTCCGAGCTATGTCACACAGAGTCTCCAACCATTGGTTACGACATTCACGTGGACCCCAACCAAGTAGTCTGCATCTACCAACATGGCTCAGACTAGAAGTTAGTGATTTCAAACACTGATACTACGTTTTCGTTTGATTACCCCTAACTTTCTTCCAACCATCCCCAACACTAGTCAGCATTGCACGTCGTGGTAATTGATGTTCAGGCATACGTAAGAACATGTGGTCCAACCATCTCAGTCGATGAAGATTCACAACCTAATCAAATGATTTATCATCATCATTCCGTAACACTCTACATCCAACCTCAATATTACTTACCCGGTGGTCCCAGTAGATGCAACCAATATTTATAAGACATCTGTGGTCAAATATTAGTAGCTTACGAGTATCTTCTACTTTTAATGACCACGTTTTGCAGTCGTAAAGTAGAACGGAATAAACTGCCAAGCAGTATACTCGTCCCTTAATTGATAGACGGATATCTCGCCTTCGCCATAGATGAAATTAGTTGGTGAAAGCCAAGCGAGCTTTTCTAATTTGTGATGAGATTTCCTCAGACACTAACCCATTAGAGCTGATCAGACTACCAAAATAAGTGAAGTCGTCAACGCGTTCGACTACTTCACTCCCTATCCTTAGTTTAGGTGTTGACGCAGACCAGTCCTGAAGCAACAACTTGCATTTAGAAAGGAAGAAACGCATCCCAAACATTCTGGCATTGTTACTCAATGCTACCAAAAGACTCTGCATTTCATCAGCGTCTTCACCAAACAAGACTATATAATCTACGTGTTATATGAAACTAACAAATCATTATTCAATTAAATATATGGGCTACCTGTTTCTTATTCCTTCCATCTACATATTTTTTATTTTTATTTTTATTTTAACACATAGATATTGGTACAAGGAGGCACCAAATACATATGTGCCACATAAATCTCATGTGATATATGTGAGGGCTGTGATACTGCCCCGGTGCCCAAACCGAAGCAGGTGGTTTCCTTAGGGGGCCACTCCCCGAGCCTTCGACCTGAACGTCTGATCCACAAGGCAGTAGAGCATCGTAAGGAGATGCAGTCCCATGGTGGTCGGTGACCAACGATTGGTTCATACTCCATTTGTTCCTTCAGGATACTGGAGCTAGCCCATGTGCACCATTGGTTTGGGATCCAGTTATAGCGCCGGACTTTCACTTTTCGTCCTCTCATTTTCGTAAACAACAGTAATGCCACGTGAAGGCAGTGAGTAGGACTTCCCTGTCAGAGGCTATATACGCGTGGCCATGTGAGAACATTTGGAGAGGAAGAGCGGTTTCTCCTTACTCTCGGCTGTATCAGGGCATTTGGGGGCCCATCTACATATTACAACAAGTTATCTGGGTTTGTTTGCTTTAATACATATTTATGCTTATTAATCATATAACCTATTCAATTGCGTTTATGTAAAGCTTACGACCATACACTATACAAATTACAAGAAAGTACAATCAGATATATCATGGTAGCTGGTAATATACATTTAAAATAATGAATGAACATTATTGAAATGTTGAATGACTGGACTGCTAATATCTAATTGGTAATCAATTATGATTTATAGTCCGGATTGACAGATAATGAAAACTACACAAATGAATCATTCAAATTAACCAGTATAACATTGTCCGCTTTATCTTTCATTAATTTTTAACTTGAGGATATGAAAAGGATGAATAAGAACTGGAAAGAGCTTGAAAGCATTGCCCAGGACAGGGTTGGATGGAGAATGTTGGTGAGAGACCTATGCTCCTTCATGAGGAGTAACAGGCGTAAGTAAGTAAGTAAGTAAGTAAGTAATTTTTAACTTGAATAACTAGTAAAATGATATGAATAACTTTCTTCATAGATGATTGTTGTATCATTTCAAACTTGAAAGGCTCTAAAAAAGATGTCAGATCATGTCATTGAAACATGATAACCAATTGTTGAATATGTGTTTAAATTGACTTCTACCTGAATTGTGTTCTGATGATGTTGTTCAGAAGTTCGATGAAAACTTCATGACCAAACTAACAAGCTTAGAGAGTTGGAGAAGATTATTACAAGAAGTAGGATTCTTATCAACATGATATTATTAGGCAGTTTAATGTTTAAGAGAAACTATAATACTTTATATATAGTGAATATCAGTAAACGAAACGTTTTTCAGTGATTAGTGTGAGGTTGTAACTATGAAATAGAATTATATCTTGAATATTTGTTGATAGAATACAAAAGTGACAATAAGAGGTTAAGTGTTCTCACGTAAGACTGATATATCCTGACTACGTATCCTGGGAAGCATCGTCGATAAACAAGGAGGTTCAGATGCAGACGTCAAGGCAAAGATTGGCAAAGCTAGAGCGGCATTCCTTCAACTGAAGAACATATGGAACTCAAAACAACTTTCAACCAATATCAAAGTCAGAATCTTCAATACGAACGTCAAGACAGTCAGTCTTATTATACGGAGCTCAAACGTGGAGAACTACAACAACCACCATCGAGGAGGTACAGGTATTTATCAATAGCTGTCTACGCATGATACTCAACATCCATTGGCCAGATACCATCAGCAACAGCCTTTTGTGGGAGAGAACCAACCAGCTTCCAGCTGAAGAAGAAATTAGGAAAAGACGATGAAAATGGATAGGACATACATTGAGGAAATCATCAAACTGCATTACGAGGCAAGCGCCAACTTGGAATCCTGAAGGGAAGCGGAAAAGAGTAAGGCCAAAGAACACATTACGTCGGGAAATAGAAGGAGATATGAAAATGATGAATAAGAACTGGAAAGAGCTGGAAAGGATTGCACAGGACAGAGTTGGATGGAGAATGCTGGTGAGCGGCCTATGCTCGTTCACGAGGAGTAACAGGCGTAAGTAAGTAAGTAAGTACGTATCCTGTGGGGTGGGTCGTGGATGTGCACCGCTGAGGAGTTCCATAATAGAACGAAACAGCTATTCATTACTTCCAGCTTTTCTATAGTAGTCTAACTTTAACTGACTCATGAATTCAATTATTAAATAAAATTATATCTTGAATAATTGTGGATAGAATATAAAAGTGACAAAAAGACAACATGTAATAAATTAAATTTTGTTTTAACGTTTTATACTACTTATTAAAAGGATATCATAGTGAGTCAGTGAATGATTCGTGAATAACTATAATAATGATTTGGGTATGATAAAATGAATTCATTTCTTTCTATTTGATTGGCATGATGACCTACCCACCAACTGTACTATCTAAGTCTTTTCTTAATTAAAATATCTAACCAGCATTTTCAAATGGTAACTATTGCCCAGGAAACGACAAATTATACCTAATTGATAAGTCGTAAGAACGTGTTACTTCACTATTTTTACATCAATTAACCGTGAACAACCATTTCTTTTTTTCAGTATGGAGATCTGTAAAGATTTTAGTGGTTTTACCAATGAATACACGATTCGATATAAGCCAGACTGTAGATCCTTGGTTCGAGTCCCACGAGTGAGATCGTGAATACACATAACTGAGGAGTTCCATCCTAGGACGAATTGGGCGTGCAGTAATTCCAGGTATTTATTGATGGTCTCACTTACTTGCACATACATTTTATACCCAATAGAACAAAGGCCACCGACCAGCAATATCAAACTCACTATGTCCTCGACCATCCATTCTAGTTCTCTATAATTGTTCTTCATTCTTCTCACATCTGTCTCCATTTATCAGCACAATGTGTTCTTTGATCTTCCAC